ACAACCGCGTGACCATTACTAAATTGAAATATTATATCGCGTGAGTAATGTATCGCATACGTCCCGGTAACATCTCAATGTAATAGTAACATTGCGACCGTGGCGTTAAATGCTGCTATACAGGCGAAAATACTAGAAACACAACATAAGAAAATATAAATGAAAAAGTGTTAGTATATCCTAATATATATATAGCCACACCGTAGTGGGCATTGGACGATGAACACTGAAATCATGAAATCGAATGAATATAGCGAGAGGAAAATGTCAGACTGACCAAAGCAAACGTAACGTCGCAAACTAGTCTTAGTATACGAACATTGTAGCATATAATATACATGTATGCATAGTTGTCAAGGCGATATTAAGACGTAAATAACGCGGTTCATTCTATTTCTGTTCATTCTATTCTGTTAATTTATACAAGTCGGCGCCCGCCTCATGTAGGCGACACACGCCGTATGCATACATTAATACGTCTCTCCCACCTCGCATGCATCTGCTCCTCCTTATTATTAGCACTCGACTCTCACGCTCCGGTTGGTCCTAACGCAGGAAGCCATTATCCGGCGGCACGTCACCTACCACGGGGCTGACACCGCATGCAGCCGCGAAACTCATTTCCTTACAAGATGAGATCTTAGATAGAAGGTGTCCGATTGAGTTGTATTTGCCTAAAATAGGAAATTAGAGAAAATAGTGTATTAGACGGACATTGACACTCGACACTTAACACACGGACGTTCGCATTTCCTGTTGTTGTCTTCATTCGACGCGCGAGAATATCTCATATGTCAACGCACACACACACACACACACACGCACGCACGCACGCACACACGCACGCACGCACACACACACACACACACACACACACACCACCACACACAACACACGAACACACACACACATACACACACCACCCACACACCACACACACATATATAATATATATATTATATATATACTAAGATATATAATATAATATAGCCGTTAGCCGTTACCCGAGTATGATGGCGGCCCCGGGTCATCACTAGCTGTTGCGCTTAGTAAAATATTCCTTGGAAAATTAAATCTGACCTTCAAAGTATTAATGAAAAAGATTTTAATTCAGTGCATACTCGCGGTAAGCATTAATTAGAATGCAGATTGCCACATCATAAGGCTCGAAATTGGAAGAGAACAACAATAGAAAACGTTCGTCTTTTTTAGCGGTTTACCTAACCATCGGCAAGCCTCTTCTTTAGAGCTCGTGAAGAAACCCGGTGCTCCATCTATAAGCGACTACGCTCAATTATCGCTCGGGGTACTAAAAACACGACACGGAGGCACGCACGAAACGCAGCACCACATAACACACACAGGTTGCGTTACACGCACGCACGCACGCACACACGCACACACACACACAACACACACACACACACACACGTCACGACGTATAGCAACACACGCACACAAACACACGTCACACACACAGCGCGTCGCGCGCACACACAACACACACACACAGCACACACACAACACACACACATATATATATATATATAACTTATATATATATATATATATATTATATATATATACTATATATATATATATATATAGACGTATGAAACAGTTTTAATATAAACTAGCCTGGTACCCGGCGTTGCTCGGGGAAAAACGCATAGGAACAACTTTTAAGAGCAAATTCAGCCACATATACTTACTTAATTCCAAAATATTTTCACCCCCCCCCCCTTCACCCATACGATCCCCATCAGAAAGGAAAGAGAAGCGTACTGGATTCACAATCTAAACACTATCCAGCCACACGGACTCAATATACGGGTAGAGATTCCGGGATGGATAGAAGACAGTAATCACCCTCCCACCAGCATGGTATACACGCAAGGCTAATTCTCAGCCGACACTCTAGGGTAGCGGATGGCTCGGTTTTCCTTTTTATAACTTTTTTTACTTAATTATATGGATAGATTCGTAACAGAGAAACAAACAATGAACAATATTCTGAGAAAAACAGTTCGAACGATTCTATGATTCTGTGTAGTCAAAGCTTCTGGATATATAACATTGTTATGAAATTGCGCCAAGTTATTACGAATATGCCTCTCTGGCTTTGAAAGCCTCGTCTCGCCTTTTAAATACACAATTGGTGACATCTGTCACGTGTCTCTCTTATCATTGGGATTCGCTTTACATCAAAGTAATACATAAAAACTAAACTAAACTAAATACATAGGTCAATCAACTAAACCCGTCAATATAGCACGGTATCAGTTCAGTGTCATTTTCATCGTAAAATAATGAACAGATTTTTAAAAGTAAATATTTCTCCAAACGTATGGATATCACCTCATTTTAACCAAATTAGTTGGTCAATTTGGCAGAGTTCTGCACCAGTGAAATCACCATAGATGACATTATCATAAAGATGAATAGCACCTGATTGATTACCATTTTAATAAACTTAATTCTTTATACCATGTTATACATTATATCCGAATGTATACACAGACAAATTACAATTTTTTAAATGCAAATGAACAAAAATAAACCACTAAAAGTGTGTGTTGTGCTGCTTTTGAAACTCAACTGACAACTGAGTGCATAATAACAAAAATGTATAAATTTGGCATAGTTTAACCTGGTATTAACTAAGTTTGTGCTACTTTTCTGACATCACCCCACTGCTAAAATTATCGCCCGTATTAAGACCTATTTATCGTCATTATATCTACAAATATGGGTGGATTTAACAAATAATTATGGATAAGCCTATGTTGGTGTCCGACACACGGGCTATACACTGAGATCGGTGGCGTGGGCTTGATGCTCACCGCGGCGAAGATTACCGCGTCAGAAAATCTACCTCTTTTCTCTTATAATATATATATATATATATATTTCTTTATATACATATATATATTTATATATATATATATATATATATATATATATATATATACGTCGTATACGACGTTGCCGCGATAGCAGAATGAGCTAAGCAATTATTAGAGCGTACCGTAACCATACCCCATCTATCACCGAGCCCCAGTGAACATGGCTATTTGTAAGTGGTTAAACTTGATGCCTGTCAACAGATGGCTGTCACCCGCCTCATCATTGTCGTCCTCACCCGTCCCCTCATCACCATAACTTCGCAGCTGGCTTGGGTGAGCGTGTGGTTGCTTGCACTGTGGTGTAAGTGTGATGTATCGGCGTACGTACGCATGCGCGTCTCTCCTACATGTAAAATGCATAGCATTATATGCGGTCAAAAATGCGGGTCGTGGGGATTGAACTTTTGTAGTCATTCAAGATCTCTCCAGTGGCTGTGCTGAGCTCCGTTGATACGAGTTCTAAAAGTATGGCGTGAGTTTGTAAGGCCAGCATTGTAGAGCTATTTAGTTGGCAATCGCCTTCTCTTGCAACACGGCTTACAATGACGTTTTTATTTATATTTACCGTGCCTTGGGACCTTATCATATATGCCTTGGGACTCGCCACATCAAAGAGTGCGGGCGGTTGCGCGGATACTAGTTTTTGATGCATTGTCCGTCCTAGGTGAATGTACAGGAGATCATAATCTCGTATAAGCTTATATGCCCTGTAGTTACAGAAGTAGGGTGCGTGTCGCATCCAACTGCAGAATCTGCCGTTTTTTATTCCGCGGGTGTCCCTACGGTCGTATATAGAGTGTACGATATTGCATGTGTTCTATACCCCCTCTAAAATTCCCACGTATAACGAAGAAGCCTCATTTGATCGATCTCACATCATCCATATACACTCACTCACTCACTCCATCTCTATCTCGCTCGCTCTCTCGCTCTCGCTCTCTCTCTCTCTTTCTCTCTCTCTCTCTCTCTCTCTCTCTCTCTCTCTCTCTCTGTCTCTCTCTCTCTATATATATATATATCTCCCGCGCGTGTGTTATGCTATTACGTAATTGCATTCTGCTGGAAGTGTAATAGGATAACCCTAAGAGGGTACCGGAGGAGGTTTACCGGAGGAGGGTGCGCGGTGACGAGGACGGAGTGCTTGCTGAGGGGGTACTACGCTATTCTAGCATGTTCCAATGACCCATCGCGGATGCTCAAACATTGCAATACATGTCTGACTTACCAAGTAGACTGCTAACTCAGTTCAGCACGTTCGTGTTTGAATCATCAGAACACGAACTAGTATTTTAGTAATTGTAGCGGCAAAGACTTCATTTCAACGCCTCACTAAGAACGGGATAGGATAAAGATGCGTTCTCATAATCCGGGGGAAAAATATATATCGTTACATATTCATGAATGACTCACATACTACTCACATATTCATGAATGGGGCAGTGTGCGGAGGAAACAACTCAGGTAATTGCATTACCAATTCGACTTGAATCGCTCTATACAAAATCACTCAAAATGCCAGCGCTGTTTCCAAACGAGTTCTCAAAAGAGAGCAGTATCTAAAAATACCGAGAGTATTTAATAGATAGTTCTTGAAGTATTTTTAACATGGATTCTCTCGAACAAATTTACATATAGGATGAGTGTGTATGTAGGAGTACACGCATGTGCACAGCCACAGATATTGCTCGTGTGTACAAGCAAAAGCTAACATTTAATTTTCGCTAATTAAACATTAACGTAGCTCCATAATAATTATTAGAAAACAATTTGCACTGTCTACTAGGTAAATGTTAGTAGTTTATTAAGGAAGCAATGACATTCTACCAAAAACCTTTTAGGTTAAGGTAATCGGATTCGAATAATTCATTAGAATGCATGAATATGTATAAGCTGATAAACTCAATTGTCTTGTTTCTGTATCGTCATATGAGACGCCGATATCAGCCATAATTATGTAATGAATATTAACATAAAACATTCTAGTTCAAGCAGTATATTCGTATGACAATGTTATAGTAAGTGCATTCGTAATTGCTCGTATAAATAGTACAACTAAACACGTCGTAGAGTAATACGGATTTTTTTTTTCTACAGGACCATAACAGACAGCAGTCTCGCTGAAGTTCCGTACTCAGCTTTAGGAAATCTGAAGTGCCTAAAAACACTGTAAGTGTGGATACGATCGAGGAAACATGGAGACAAGGGAAGAAATAGGAGAGTAGAGCCGTAAATGGGAAATAGAAGGAAAGCGAGAGTAATGAGAGTAATGAGAGTAATGAGAGTAATGAGAGTAATGAGGGTAATGAGAGTAATGAGAGTAATGAGAGTAATGAGAGTAATGAGAGTAATGAGAGTAATGAGAGTAATGAGAGTAATGAGAGTAATGAGAGTAATGAGAGTAATGAGAGTAATGAGAGTAATGAGAGTAATGAGAGTAATGAGAGTAATGAGGGTAATGAGAGTAATGAGAGTAATGAGAGGCAGTTTTGGATCGGAACGGCTGCGTTGAAACGCATGATTAGTTCACACAATTACAGCAAAACAACTCTCGCGCATTACCACCGCGTGGGAGGTCTCCGAGAATCGATTTTAATGCCATCGCAATCGCTCGCAAGTTATAATCCGCACGAATGTTTGAGAAGAGACATTACAACTGTAAGCGTATTAGTTTTTTGTAATGAAACTATTTTTCCTCCGGACCCAAATTCCCACGGGCGCAGCTTTCTATGTTTGATCCGCGACTGTACTGCTCTGGTCTCCATAACGATTGCTCAACCATCGCGGCCAGAAGGAGATGCGGACAAATTTATTATCTCTCTCTCTCTCTCTCTCTCTCTCTCTTTCTCTCTCTCTCTCTCTCTCTCTCTCTCTCTCTCTCTCTCTCTCTCTCTCTCTCTCTCTCTCTCT